CTCTGCAGAGCTGCTTTCCAGCAGGCCAACCCCTAACCTGTACCAGTGCGTGGGGTTATACCTCCCTAGGTGCAGGACCCTACACTTCTCCTTGATGAACTTCGTTAGGTTCCTCTCCGCCCAACTATCCAGCCTGTCCAGGTCTCTCTGAATGGTGGCAGAGCCTTCCAGCATGTAAGCCATTCCTCCCAGTTTTTTATCATCAGCAAACTTGATGAGGGTACACTATGTCCCCTCACCAGGTTGTTGATGAATATGTTGGACCAGTCTGAACCCAACACTGACCCCTGGGGAAAACCACTAGTTACAGGCCTCCAACTGGACTCTGCAACACTGATCACAACCCTCTGAGCTCTGCCATTCCAACAGTTCTGAATCCACCTCACTGTCCACTCATCTAACCCACACTTCCTAAGCTTGCCTATGAGGATGTTATGGGAGACAGTGTCAGTCCTTGCTAAAGTCGAGGTAGACAACATCCACTGCCCTCCCCTCATCCACCCAGCCAGTCATGACATCATAGAAGGCTATCAGATTGATCAAGCATGATTTCCCCCTAGTGAATCCATGTTGACCACTGCCAATAACCTTCTTTTTCTTCTTTTCCTCCTTTTCAGTACTATCTATGATATTCAGAATTGCAGAGTATTCTGAGGGAACATCTGGTTGCTTTTTATTTATTTTTCATTATATTCCTTCAATTTTAACGCTACAGGGTACTGATACATGCACATTCTTCTAAAGCATTTATGGGTAGATTCAAAGCTGCACAATTTTGTGCAAAATGATTTGCATTTCAAAGCAGTAGAGATAGCTGTTTGGGGTGAGATCACACAGAACTATTAACTAATAACTTTAATGAGCTTTCTTAATTGCAAAGCTGAACTTTGATGGAGGTCCTGTGTTGAAAAAGAGTATCAGCCAACAGTAACCTGACTCTTGATTTTGGACTTAAGAAACAGAGCCGGAGAAAGACAAGAAGGAGGTAGTCTGTTAATTTTTATTTTTTAAGAAAGAATTTACTGATACATTTCATTTCCCAGAGTGTATCAAAGTGTGATAAATACCCCAGAAATGTTGGGAAAACAATTTTACATGTTCTCATTCACATTCAAGCTTCAAGGTTCTTAATTATTTAATTAGAATTTTTGTGCTAACAAACTATAATTTTAGAGAATTATTCTGCAGTGCAAGCCATAGTGCAATCAGAGCAAAAAGATGACACTTTCAGTTTACGTAAGTATATATATATACTTGTATGCATGTACTTTACTTTCCTGTATGTATCACAATGACAAAAAGTTGTACAGAGGGACGCAAAGAATGATAATGAGGTCATACTGCAGATGTTTAGAGGCAATTCCTATACCAGCAAAGCCGCTAGTTCAGCGCAGTGCCAGTAAGGTTGCCAATTAATTAACATCCCACAAGTGTAGAGAAATGTGAGAAATCATTTTTCACTGCAAGAAGTCATCTTGCAGTGAAAAATATCTTTTAACAGTATAATTTCAGTCAGATTTTTAAACAATACCATTGTTTAATGGATATATAATAATAAGCAATAGTGATTAAACTAACAGAAAATATGCATTAGGGGTGAAGATGTATCTTTTCAAAATGGTCTCACACTGAAGGCCAAAGGGAGGCCCTGCTAGTGATGTTACCAGACATGTCCTGAAAATAATGTTTCACATTCATTAAATTCAAACTGGACCATAAGCAATAGCTGGTCAAAGTTCACTGTAGGTTTCTCCCAATGTTCACCTTGTCCTGCAAAGAGTTTTAGATCTTTAAGTTCCCCATATTTCCTTTGCTGGACGTTTTTATCTTTTGATCATTAATTGTACAATGAGGTAAGATTACATTTTTTGCATAATGAAGATAAAGTCTTTTGCACAAAGCAGTTCAAAGCTAAGGGCGTAGTCACTGATGTGATTAGCAGGAACCATGGTAGTATCATCTGGGTCAATGTAAATTGAAATAATTAATTTAATTTATGTTTTTTTCTAACCTGTCCTTATTGACACAAGTAATCTTTGTTTTTCTGACTTGTGATTTAATATTATTTATTATTTTTCCTTATTGATGTGCAATTTACTCCAGCTTAAATCTCAGTTCTGAATCTTGCTTGCCCACAAGCACATACACGCACATGCACACACTCTTACAGATAAATGCATATCCATCTTCATCTGTGTGAACATGCTCTTGCAGAAGGCAACTGTTACTGTTTGAAGTGCTTTATTAACACTGCTTTTCTTTATTCCAGGCACAGTCAAAAAATCCTTTCATCATCTTTTATACTGTCCATCTTCTACTTTATACTCCTCAGAAGTTTTAGTTACCAGGTGGCTTGGATAGCTGCAAAAAACATTTCATATTTTTGCTATCTAAAACGAACACTCCAGGGGTGCTTCTCTTCCACTGAACGTGTTTACTTTGTGCTTCATACATTAGGTGAATAAAGTAGGAAATTAAATCCCTGCGTGCTAGAAGGATCAGTATGAAAGCGCTGGCCTCACAGACTGAGCTCTGAAAGTAATGATCAGAGCGCCCAAAAGCCCCTTTGATCTGGATTCATTGCAAACACCCAACTCACAGACCTCTATACATTTCCAGTTTTAACTTAGTGCCTAATGAAGTGAAGTTTATCTCTGAAAACCTTTGTCACAGCTGGACATAACTAGCAATACTTACTTGCAGGACTGCAACTTAAAGGGGGAAACTAAATGAATCTCAGCAGGTTGTCCTTATAGGACAAAGTTGAAATGTGCTTTTATAGGTAGCATAATAAAGGATAGTCTTCATCCAGGTCCCCAGACTACATTGCAAAACCAGCATGTAATTTGCCTCATATTATTAGTCTCCCTGTCAAAGTGTCTGAGTGGAAAGAAGAAGCCACATCAATCAAGAGTGAGATTCTTCCACAGAATTATGAGAGGAGTAATATGTGGACCATTCACTTATGGTCAAAGAACACAGTTTAGATGCAGCTATTGTTCACTCAATTAAGTTTTTAACAGTCAAAGCATAATGGCTGTTTATTACTTAGTCCAGTTACAATAATGCTAATGTTTACAATCCAAACCACCCAGTTTCTGTTGAAGATTTTTAATGATAGAATAAGATCAGCAGATCCCAGTATCTGCTCTTTTTCTTGTATGTTGAATCCCCACCTTTCTGATCATCCACCATCTGAGAGGGCAACCCTCCTCTCTCAGGCGGGATGATTTAGTAAGTTATCACATCCCAGGTTGTTTGCCAGGGGAGTACAGTGTTGTTGCAGCAGAGCTACTCGTGGGAGTTTCTTCTTCATCAGTCTGGGGGTTACTCAACATGATTTTTATGTGTTTCAAACAGCTTTTTTGCTAAAATAACTCTCTGATGGGATTTTAAATTTGGTTATACCATATTTTTTAAAATCTGTGAATCCTTCTCTGTATATGGGAGGATTGCTTTTATGATAAAATACACGATTGCACGCAGACGAACAAAACTTGACTCAAATTTAAGTTGAAAACTTCTTAAGCACTAGACAGATGATTCTCAAAGCCCAAAGACACAAGTCAGGCAGTGAATGCCTACCTGTTGGGTAATTTTGCCATTAAGGGTAGGACCAGGTGGGCAATAGTCATCTATCCAGACCTGAGATGAAGTTACACGCAGGAGTTATGTAAATAATTTTACAAGTACAACTAAACTAAAGCCCAAATAAACCAAACCAGAAAAGAGATCAGAAGGCTTGAGGCATCTTGCCAGGTTTATTAATGTTATGAAGCCCGACCCCCTGTACTACTACTTGGCATCATGAAGTTGGCTGTACCACAGGGGTTAAGGGAACTTACATAGTCCTTCCTTGCAGTGTGCCTTACTCTGCAAATGTCTCATACACACCTTCCTTTGATGAGCACCTACTTTATTCTTTTTCTTTTTGCTTCTTTTGAAATGGGTTATTGAGTGTCTTCGTTTAGTAGCTACCTTTGAAAAAGTCTCTTGCCTTTGGTGACTAAACCTGTGAAGTACAGCCTTTGGAGAAGGGTAGTTAATTTAATGGCGGTTATCTTGTCTTCTAGTATCCCCAGTTTTAACCTGAAGGCAGGAATGAATAAATATCTTACTAACTGTGATTTCCACTGAATCTGTTGTGCTTCTTTGGATATTGTGCTGCTTAAACACAGCCAGCTCATCTTATCTTGTTTTTCTCTCCCTCAGAGCTAGTTTACATGTCTTGGAAGTACAAAGTTGTGTTCTGTAAACCCTTCTCAGGTCTTTGGTTCTAAAAGTCACATAGAATCAATCTGTGCAGTAAAACCAAAGAATGAATTTGTCCTTAATACAAATTCTAATCAGAGATGCACCAGTTCTTCCTTCCTCATCTGAGCCATTATGTATGTGTATGGGCCAACAAGCTCCGTCTATTTATAGCTGTAATGTATGCAATAAATGTTAAAAGGAATCTTTTCATGGTCAAGGAGCTCCTTTTCTTGGAAATAATACATCATTAAGGTTTGACTTAAAACACTGATGTGACTAGGAAAGGCAAAAGCCAAGTTTGATGTTACCTCACAGAGGCCCAATGCTGTAAACTTGTCACAAACATGATTAGCCCTATTTGCAGGGTGTATGGTGTTTATCTCTGCATTAGTTATAGCACTGTCTCGAGGAGACCCGCTGAGAGTGAGAAAAGAATAAAACCTAACCTCCTTTACTCTTTGCAGGAGGAAAAGTTGGTTTGTCTCCTCTGAAGTCTGGAGGGGAAATGCTGGATAAACAGATCCTTTGACAAGCCCAATGATAATGAAGGAAAATCTGGTTTTTTGTTGCTCTTGCCATTCACAATAGGTTTTATTGTTTTGTTTCAAATGAAAACACATGTGCCTGCTTTGAAATGGTACTGCAAAATTGGCAGAGATCTCCTTTTGCTGCAGACTTAACTTCTCCCTTTCCCATCCTCATCCCCACAGGCCCGTGACGGAGGGTTAGACCAGATCAGTGGAGTCATGCGTCACACAGCTGTATCATGCTGGCAGCCATTCCTGGGTCTGGCTGTGCTGCTAGTCTTCATGGGCCCCACCATAGGCTGCCCAGCCCGCTGTGAATGCTCAGCACAGAACAAGTCTGTTAGCTGTCACCGAAGGCGTCTGATGTCTATCCCAGAGGGCATCCCCATTGAGACCAAAATCTTGGACCTGAGCAAGAACCGGCTCAAGAGCGTCAACCCTGAGGAATTCACGTCATACCCTTTGCTGGAGGAGATCGACCTCAGTGACAATATAGTTGCCAATGTGGAGCCTGGAGCCTTTAACAATCTCTTCAACTTGCGCTCCCTGAGGCTGAAAGGAAACCGTCTGAAGCTGGTCCCCCTTGGGGTGTTCACTGGGTTGTCAAACTTAACAAAGCTCGATATAAGTGAAAACAAGATTGTCATTCTGCTGGACTACATGTTCCAAGATCTGCATAACCTAAAGTCCCTGGAGGTTGGGGACAATGATTTGGTTTATATATCACACAGGGCCTTCAGTGGACTGCTTAGCCTGGAGCAGCTCACCCTGGAGAGATGCAACCTCACAGCTGTACCAACAGAAGCTCTTTCTCACCTCCACAACCTCATCAGTCTCCATCTGAAACAGCTCAACATTAATGCTTTGCCTGCGTATGCCTTTAAAAGACTGTTTCGCCTGAAAGACCTAGAAATAGATGCTTGGCCCCTACTGGACATGCTGCCTGCCAACAGCCTGTATGGCCTCAACCTTACTTCTCTCTCCATCACCAATACCAACCTGTCTGCAGTACCTTACTCTGCTTTTAAACATCTGGTTTACCTGACACATCTAAACCTCTCTTACAACCCTATCAGCACCATTGAAGCAGGCATGCTTTCAGATTTAGTGCGCCTGCAGGAACTCCACATGGTGGGGGCCCAGCTACGTACCATTGAACCACACGCTTTCCAAGGGCTCCGATTCTTACGTGTGCTTAATGTGTCCCAAAACCTGCTAGAAACCCTAGAAGAGAATGTATTCCATTCCCCAAAAAGCCTCGAGGTCCTCTGCATTAACAACAATCCTCTGGCCTGTGACTGCCGTCTCCTTTGGATTTTACAGAGGCAACCCACTTTGCAGTTTGGAGGCCAGCCACCCATGTGTGCTGGCCCAGACAGTGTCAAAGAGAGGTCATTCAAAGACTTTCACAGCACAGCTCTTTCCTTTTACTTCACCTGTAAGAAGCCCAAGATACAAGACAAGAAGTTGCAATATCTGGTAGTGGAGGAAGGGCAGACGGTGCAGTTGATGTGCAACGCGGATGGTGATCCGCAGCCTACCATATCCTGGGTCACCCCACGTCGGAGGCTGATCACAACTAAATCAAATGGAAGAGCCACTGTGCTGGGAGATGGCACCCTGGAGATCCGCTTTGCTCAAGACCAGGACACTGGGATCTATGTTTGTATTGCAAGTAACGCAGCTGGGAACGATACTTATTCGGCCTCCCTTACAGTAAAGGGGTTTACTTCAGACCGTTTCCTTTACGCCAACAGGACCCCTATGTATATGACAGACTCCAACGACACAAGTTCCAATGGAACTAATGCGAACACCTTCTCTCTGGACCTTAAGACAATATTGGTGTCCACAGCTATGGGCTGCTTCACATTCCTTGGAGTGGTTTTATTTTGTTTCCTCCTTCTTTTTGTGTGGAGCCGAGGGAAAGGCAAACACAAAACCAGCATTGACCTTGAGTATGTCCCTCGCAAAAACAATGGTGCTGTGGTTGAAGGGGAGGTTGCTGGACCACGAAGGTTCAATATGAAAATGATTTGATGGTATTCTGCTAGCAGTGCTTTTTCTGTGGCATTAAAACCAATTAAACCAGCCTGGCATGTGGAATTGCTAGGCAGAAGCAGCTTAATGCAGCTGTCACTGTATCAAAAGGTTACATGAAAATGGAAAAACTATTTGTGGTTATACAGCAGAGCCTCCAGAACTTGAGGCAGATATGTCAGGGCCTTTCATAGAACTGGTAAATTGTACTAACTGTTTGCATTGCAAATATTGGCATTCTGGGGATATCAGCAATGAACCGCTGGCTCATGCTCATGGACAATTGTTCAACATTTTCTACCACTTCAAAAAGAAAAAGAAAAAAAAAAAAGCCTACAGTGTAGGATTTACATACTTAAAGAAAAAAGACACATTTGTCTAAAACATACTCTACAGTGAAATTTGTATCTATAGATCTCATTTGGTAAAACTTGCATCATCCCTTCTAGTTGGTTCAACACCACAAAAAATTGGTAGTTTTTTTTAATCTACATCTATACTGTGTACATTTTAAAGCAATACAAATGAGAGGTTGTACTTTTAGATATCCACCAATACTGACCCAAGTGTGATGTCACCCTCCTTTTAACTACCATCTAACCCAAATTAGACTCTTGTAGTTACCAATTAGAGATTACATCAGATATTTTTCTCCTCATGTAGAAGGCCAGAGATGAATAGTTGAGAGTAAAAACGCTCAGCTCTGTTGATCTTCTCTTCATATAAATATAAGGCATGTGCCTAGTTTTGATACAGAATGGAATATTTTTTATATCTGTGATATCACACTGGACCAGTTTACTGTAACATTGCCCTGGATCTCACCCAGGGAAGGCAACCCACTAGACATTGCTGGCATAGAGGAGCTGAGTTCTGCCTTGAAGAGAGCGAGCTGTTTTTGTTATCCCTGATTTTAATTTCAAATCTACTGTTAAAATGTTAACATGTGCTTGGCAACAAGAAACAACGTAGTACATTCTGCGTACTCCTTGGGAAATATGGTCATCATACTAGTTATATGAGTGAATTAAAGCATACAAAACTCTGCTACTAGGAATGAACTCTTCTCCAATGCCAAGTAAACTATGGTTGCCCATGCATAGTATGGGGATTATAGTACTAAAATAATGTTTAAAACATGATAGCCTCAAAAAGGCTAACATACTGCCAGATATAATGAACCTCTAGCCACTGTCATTCTCATCTTGTATATTTGTAGATAACACATAAACGCAAAGCTAATTTCCAAGAACAGATTACTTAGCTATTCTTGATGCCATTTTAATAACTATGTGGTTATGTTTCTTTCAGGGGCAGTATCTTAGAGCAAGAGGGGCAAGTTTTTCCAGGTTTTAGGAAGCTTTTTAAATGGAGAGAAGACAGAAGTGGAATGTTAGTTCAGTAAAAATAACTTTTTTTGGTTTATATCTCTAATCAAATCCTCAAAAGGCTCAGAACTGAAATTTTATTTTTTATTCGTTATTGTTGATACCTTTTCTTATTTTTAAATTCTCAGCAATGGGAAGATACAGAGTTGTTCAGGCCAGTTGTTCAGCCTCTCAATTTTCCAGCAATTATGAGCCATAGGTTTGTTGCTAAGTCGTTGATAACAAATACAATTTATACATGATTGGCATAACCTGAAGTAAGGATAATAATGACTACTTATACACTTAGCAAAAATGAATATGAAAATATTATAAGACAGAACGTTCTGTGTCCAATCTTAAAATTAGATTTCAGCACTTTGAAACCAAAGTCAGGCTGACCTATAATGGGATGCAGGTGCTTCTAAAATTAGTATCCACATTCTTTGGCAGAGATTTTCTAAGCAGGATAAAAATCTCCCACTCCTATCAAGGGAAATGTGCCAAAAAGTTGTAAAATCCAGCTGTGCTCCCCAGATGTACCCCTAACATAGTTATAGGACCCAAGGCTAGGCAGTTTTGAAAATCTCTTTTCTTAGTGGTTATTCTTTGGTTGCATCGTTACTCCATTTTAGGTCACCAAACTGAGGAGGACGCGAGGGTTGTTAGAATTTTCTTCACTTTAGTGGTTTTAAGTTTAGAGTTGGGTTTTCTTGCTGCCTTTTTCTTATGCTCTGAACTAGATAGTTGGAGATTTATGAAGATGCTTGAGACTAATCCTCTTTGTTCTCTGACAGTTTGTAAAACATTAATGAAATGGAATAACCCCTGACTAAATTCTATCACCAGGGAAGTTATTTTTGCTGATAAAATAACCACCGCACTGAAGTCCAAAACTCTACTGTACCTTAATGTGGGCAGTTAAAGAAACAAATGGGGATAAAACAAAGTGTTTCTGAACTGCCCATTGAAGACATTTGCATGTGCCTTTCCCTTGTAATTGTCATTTTTTCAACTAGTAATCTATTGCCCCTGCAGTCATTTCATGTTAAATGTTAAAATCAATGTTAGAAGCAAAAATTCTCCTAAATTCTAGACAGTTGCAGATGATTGCTTCATATTAAATGACACAATTTAAAAAATTAAAAAAAAATTAGAAAAAATGTGCTTTTAGGATTAATTATGAATTGCTGAATTCCCCTATTCCCTTAGAATGAGTCTAAAAAGTGATTGCATTGTTAGTGCACTGCAAGGATTTCTGAGCAGTAATGTGCTTAGTTACCTATGTGAAATGTGTGCTGGTGATGAAAATCACCGCTTGCTCTTGCTGAGCATCACCTTGCAGAGCTGTCAGCATTGTGTGTATGGCCTTGAGTTCAGTCAGTATTCAGTTTTTAAGAATCAGTGTTCGCTCCCTGCTTCTAGCACTGTTCTACTTTCTGCAGCCTACTTATTTCACCGTAGACTTGGCAAGGCATATGGCGTCTCTTAACAGAAGTGAGGATAGCAAGACTCAGAGACAAGCTTTTATCTTGCTCCACATAGTCTTCTTTACATGTATTTGTGGGACACACTCTCACTGTGGCCATTTTGGGCAAATAAGGAATACAGTGTCAAGGTCAGACCTAGATAAGCACCTTTTTGGCAATTCTTTTAAGAACAGAGTGGCTGAATACCTACCCTGCCTCTTGAAGGATTACTTCTTCTCTGCTAGAAAGCAAGGAGACACCACAGTCTATCTCACTGCAGAGGGGAAAAAGGACTGGGCTGTGAGGAGGCATCTGATCCACGTGGCTCCCGTATCATATATTCAGAAACAGGTGGACAGTGCATACCCGCCTCTAAAAGAGGGAATGAAGGTTTTTTCCCTGCCTCTGACTTGTATACTAGTTGCCCCCCATGCTGGCACAAGGCCCAGCCTGAACTTACCGAGCAGTCAGCGCAACAAAGCTCTGAGGAGCAGCAATAGTCCTGCAGAAAAGTAGAAACCTGAAAATGTCAAAACCACCAGAGGGACTTGAGAAAGCAGGTACCACTACATCCTTGTCAATAATTCCCGTAAAAGCAGTGCTGAGCCCCCCACAAGTGTGTTTTGAAGTCCACTTCCACAGACCAGTACTGCTCTTTCATAATGGATGGACGTACAAGTGCTGAGACTTTCCACTAGTGAGTTACAGAGGACACTGCAGCAATGTATTAAGAAAAGCATTTGCAATGATATAAGGACAGATTAAAACTAAGCAGTGTCCCATCTCAGCCCTATTTTTAGGTTTTGAGCTGCTTCTCTTTTCCTGCAAACCCCACCCCCACCCACCTCTTCCTTTCTTATTAACTTGTCAACATTCTTCTCAGAAAGGCTTCGTCCACAACATCAGCTCAGTTAAATTCAGACTGGGACACTGCTTCTACCCTCTGTTCCCCCCTCCCTCACCATTCACACATCCTCCCAGTGCCAACAGGGTCAACAGCTCCAGATATAATTGAAATCAGCCAGGAGAATCTGAGCCCCTAGAGAACTGTTGATACAAGCTGATGTCATCAGGTACTTTTTTTAACTAAACTTTTTTTTCTTTTTTTTTAATTCATTTGACATTATTGTTACACTGCCATTCAAGGTTTCCTTTATTTACATGAATGGTAGCTATCTTTTTTCCCTTATTTCTTGCATTATGGTATTACATCACCTATGATTAGCCCACCATAAAGAAAATCAAGAAAGAAAGCTACCTTACACCTTCAACACCATAAATTTTAGTTGAGGCATGAGAGACAGTAAGAATTCAGCATTAATATTTAATGGAAAGTCTTAATTAAACCTTGTGATAGAAGAAAAAACTGGTGTGGAGGAACTTTGGAATGTAACTGAATCACATCAAAGTTACATAGAAATAAACTTTACCTACACCATGCCTAGATATCTGGTTTAGATATTTGACTTTTCATTAAAAACTTTCAGGATGTGTGAATGTCAGAATTCCACATTTAACCCATAAAAAGACAAAGCAGTGGCTGAAAATCCAGTAGAGCAACAGCTTCTGACTGCCCAAGAGCAACAGCAGCTTCTAGCAAAGACAGCCAAGAAACTGCAGTCATATAGTTATTTTGCCTCATCCACTACTGCATCCTGTGAAAAAGGGTCACTTAGCCAGTACTAAAACAGGCAATCCTTACTCATTTTTCTTCAGAGAGGGCAACATTTGTGTAAATGAGCTACAGTCTGTTCCACCTCCAGCCCCAGCAGTGAAACATCCAGAAAGAAGTGAAGAAGGGGAAGCTTATTCTGTCCAGTTTTCTAATTATCTTTTCCCCCTGAATGATCCTAGTCTACCTGGGGCTAATATGACGACTGCTCTGTCCATTCCCATCCTCTCAGCTCCCAATGTGGCTTGACATGGAGTAGCAGGGAAAGGAGTAGGTGGTCAAGCTGTCCGTCCTCCCTGAACTGTAACTCTGGTCTTTTCAAATAAAAGAACAAGTGCAGCATCAGTATCTTAGAAACTGCAGTCTGCTGCAGCTGATCTGTAGTTTTGCCATAAGACAACATGTAGGAAAACACTAGATATTGGCTTTCTGACCTTGTTTCAGTATCCTAGGCGATTGGGCTTTGTGCTAAAAACAACTAGGAAAGAAGAACTAAAAAAAAAGTTTCATCCAGTAATTTAAAATTTAATTATGGCTTTGGGAGTTAAAAGAACATCTTTGGAAAAGGCAAAGGGCCTGATTGCTGGAGAATCACTAAAACAATGAATGAGATTTTTCAAGTTAGCTAAGCAATTTGGATGCCCTGTTCTTATCACCTGTAACAAGAATTACAAACTCAGTTTCCCTTGGCAGCTTAGAAGAAGCACAGCCAGTTGGTTCAGTCACACATGTTCCCTTTGTCTGTCTCCTAGCTCTGCCCTCTTCCCCTCTAAGTTTAAAATGACTGTGATGCCAAATGAAGATCTCTGGATTTGTTTTAGTTTCACTGCATGTTCACATGGCTTTTGGAATCTAGATCTCAAAGCAGGATCTTAAACCCTCTTCAAGCCAAAAATAAAAGTAAAAAGGAAGAAGCAGCTTGAGTAAACCTCCTCCTGCAAATGAAATAAACTAAATTATGTGAGATTCTTGCTACT